CGAAAAAAGTTCTTATTTTTCAAAAGAATATGATGCAAATTCAAGAAAATCTAAAAAGTATACGGATAAAATATTTTTGTACCAGTTCTTATTTATTATGCTACATCTTTTCTCTTCAAACTTAAACTTTTTTTTCCCAGAAAAACAACAAATTTATCAATTGAAATATATTTCAATTCCTCTAGGAAAATCAAGCTGCTTTAAGTACATGTAAAGCATGCGACACATTGTTGCAACACGCGAAATGTAATAACGCAAAATGTAATAAAATGAAATTATTACATTTTTGTTTTTACATTTTGCGTCGAAATCAACGCAAAATGTAATAAAGCGAAAAGTAAAAAAGAGACTTTTAAAGATTATTACATTTTGCGTTAATACATTTTGCGTCGAGATTAGTGAAGAATGTATTTATGTACTTTTTGATTATTACATGTACATTTTGCATTATTTAATTTTGCGTTGAGAACCAAACAAAAATATAAAATTTGCGGTTTATAAAAAAAGTGTCAACTGTTCCAACCCACTTTATACCGTATAAATTGGGAAGCTCTTAAATTCATTCCTTATAATTCAATTTTCATTCATTTATTGTAAGAAAAAAATTATAGCCCCAAAAAATAAATTAAAATTGTACAAAATTTAAATGTAACGTCAGGCGGATCGATATGTTTTTGACGCAAGTCATTTTGACGTAGGCAACCCAATTTATACAATATAAAGTAAAACTTTTATTCAATCAAATTGCGCGTTACAATCAGAATTAAATTATAATAACATACAAATGTAACACACAAATCATAATATTTTTTTGTATTGCGTTCAACGGAAAACATCATAGAATTGATTTAAACATATCTTAAATATTATAAAATATGAAAAGATATTGTGCCGAAGTGGATGAGTCGATAAGGAGTATGAAATGCTTTTCAGGTCTTTCATATAATTTATGCATAGATAAAACTATGTCTCTCAGAAGTCTGAGATTTTGTTTCCTAGTAAATTTTTGCATTGCACGCTCCTAACATAAAAATTGTATATCAACTGAATACTAGTGGTAATGAACATAAAGATGATTTAAAATCGGTGGAATTTAATCAATGATAAAATTGGCGAATCAAATTCTAGTTACTCAAATATACGTAAACACAAGACATTGGCATGTCCTTTTGCATTTCAAAATAATAAAAACTAATGAGAATTGTCATGTTTGAAAGTCAGGAAATCGGCACATTATATTCAATCCCTTGAAATGACATTTACATTGTTTTGTAGATCAGAAAACGGCTGAAAATAAAGTAATACATTATCATTGGTGGGAAAATTATTCTCAGCATAACTGTCCAGAATGTGTGTTTTTACATTTTGCATTGTTGCGTTTTGCTTAATATCGACACAAAATATAAAATAACAAAAGAAATAAAATCAAAAAAAAAAAAAAAAAAAAAAAAAAATCTTATTACATTTTGCCTTATTAGATTTTGCGTTCACAACAACGCAAATCGTTATAATGCAAAATTTGATATTCCTAATAGTTTCTTATTACGTTTATTACATTATGCTTTGATTTCGACGAAAATTGTAATAATCCCGGTTTGTTACATTTTGCGTTGCTAGTACATTTCACATTGTTACAACGCATGCAAGATTTAAAGTTAAAGCAAAATTCGGCAACTGAGCAAAACAGAAAACTTTATGATATATTTTCTTCAATCAGCAATATTTTAATCAATTACAAATACTAACTTATTTAGATAGAGTCAATGTTCAATGTTTATAGACAATCTACATGAAATGATATACAGTAGTTAGGGTTTTACATGCAATAAACATGTAATTGTATTTCAGTGCTATTATGTATATATATGTGTATAAACGTAAAAGATTGCTGCCCTATCAAAAAAAAAAAAAAAAAATAAAAAAAAAAAAAAAAAAAAAAAAAAAATAAATAAATAAATAAAAATAAAAATAAAAAAGACGGGCGCTTTTGAAAAGTCTGCTTTATCAAAAAATGCACTATGCATCATGCCTTAATTAAAATACATATACATAACTAAATATTTTTAAAAACTGTCTCTTTTCTGGGCTATAAAGAGAAGAAAGAAAATTTATCATTTAATATTCCCATTATATAAACATGATAAATTTTTGAGATATAGTTCCAATATACAAACTTAAAAATATATAGCCGAATTTCTCTTTGTAATTAGCATATTGGTTAAAATGAAATCCTCGACATCACATGTATGATGTCCAATATTTAGCGATGGACAAGATAGGCTGTGGTCCCTTTTCGGTTCTTGGTTTTGGTTGTCTCTTACAGCGATGCAGTGGTTCATAATAAAAAGAACCTGTAGTCATCACTGTTACAAAATAATTATTGATTCTAAGTTAAATGTTACAGGGAGATCACGATATCACAGGAAGGTCTAACAATTTGTCAGGTGCTGTTTTTCTCTTTTTTATTCATTTTTTCCATTAATTTAAAAAAAAAAAATGCTTGAGAAAGAGAATAAAATTGCTTATCTGCCAAATTTATATATTCTATGCAAAAGAATCAGATTCAAATGTTGTGTATAAAAATCTCAGAAAGCAAAGCTTAATTGTGCGCTATGTTTGCCGTAGTGAAAAATTCATAAAGCTTTAATTTTTACAATTCCACCAGACCTGAGAAAATTCGTAAAAAAAATGTTATACTTTGTCATCTTCTTGTGGAATCCATGTAGAATTAGAAACAAATTTAATACCGGTTTTAAAAAGCGTCATTCAAAGACCAATTGCACACTATCACAATTTTAATTTGTTCAGATTTTTACAGTAAGGAGCATAATTCGGCCTTTAACACATACCTTGTCCCTTCATAAGTAATTAAAAACAAGTACAATCATGGTTACAGCAAACATAACGTATTGTGGTGCACAGCCGCATTCTATATGACCACTGCTTATGATTCAACGAATGCAAGTGACTCCTTGCGGTATCATACAATGTTGAAAAGCATATATTTGCTTTTCTTTTAAGAACGATGTAAATAAAATCATTTTTTGACCATTTGACGATCGACATTTTATGAGAATCTGTCATTAGCAAAACATTGATAAAATATATTAAATTTCTTGTATTCTGAGATAAATTTATATATTGAAAAAAATTGTGAAATAAAAATCTATCTTGGCCAATTTAGTAGAAACATCCTAGTATAATGTATTTAACACCTGCCATAAGTTTCATTCAGAAAATATACCCTGAAATTAAAGTTATTTTGTGGCATGAAATAAAAGATTTTGTTTGTTCGTTTGTTTTTTTTTGTTTAACATCCCTCTCGAGAAATGTTCACTCATATGGAGACGCCACCACTTGCCGTGGAGGGCTGCAAATGTACACCTATATTCTACACCTATATTCAACACTATATTGTCACATCCGACCAGTCTCCATGTCCCGGAGTGCGCTCTACCCTTGCGACACTCGGGCGACAAAATAAAATAAATAAAAAGATAAATGAAGAAAATGACAAATAAATAATGAGTATTGGCCCCATTATGTTGTTTTTAACTTTATATCTACATGACATGCTAGCATCCATGATAAGGACGGAATGGAACATCTGTTTCTTTGAAAAATATTTTGTAAAATTGAGATCAAACATACGTGTGTCATCAATACAAATTTAAGATACATGTAAGAATGAGTTCTGGTGCATGTATATTTGTAATATGAAGAGAGCGATCAGTAATCAAGCTCAAAAGTTCATTGCAATAATAATTTGGAATGTATCTAATTGTCGAATTGATATTTTTTCTTTTCATGTAGACGTTTTTTTAATATACATTTTGCTTCATATGATTACAAAAAAGGGGCGTAATTGGTACCCATGAAAATTCAGATCGTTAAAAGACTTCACCTCCAGAAAATACATAGGTATTGTCAATCAAAAGCTCATGAAAAGCATTTATTTAAAATCAACTTTAGAGTCTTTGTATATAGAATCAGAATGTGTTTAATAAAATAATTCTGCAGAGGACCACGGGCAAGGTGTGTAAATTTACAAGTTCCGTTTTTAATTGTAAAGCAGGTTCTATGATGTCAAAAAGCCTGGACTTAAATTTATCATGGGGAATGATTGTATAAATGAAAAAAAGTAAAAATAACGAATAGTGATCGATCTAAAAAAAATCAATCAATACAAATTTGTAAAAAAGGCATAAAACACAGACCCCCGGAAATACCAGAGGTGAGAACAGGTGCTTTGGAGGAGTAGGCATTCCCTGTTGACTTGTTACACCTCCCGTGTAGTCATTAGGTAGTCAGGAAATTTTCATAATCATTTAGTATAAAAACAAGGGCCTAAAACTGGTATGAAACACGGCGGCCAAAATACAAGCAAATGATCGGCTACATTGTAAACAAGGGTCATTATAAGGCCCATATAAAGTGTTGAATAGCCGTGCGAATTGATGCTATTGAATTTGGTAAAAGTTTCTGATTTCAAATTTTCTAAAAGTTCCTTAAAGTTTTTAAGTGCCCACGGGTGATTAACCCCACTCTTCAACTATGCTGCTGTTCAGTATTGTGTATAATGAAATACACAAGTTTGATTATTATAAGCTGAAGTAGTATTATTTATGATTATTAATGACGTCTGAATTACCGATTCAACTGTAATTCAGTAGGGTAAGGTTTTTCCAGTTAAAGTTGCAGAATAATTTAAGTTTGTCATTCTGTTTTACGATTAAATTTCTTCAAACTCTTTTGTCGTACATGCATGATTTGATTTGGCAATAAGAACTAAATGTTAATGTAATGAAATTAGACAGATGAAATTTCAATTCAAAGTCATGAAATTATGTTTCAAAAGGAATCAGCATCAAGTTACGTTAATATTGATACAGTTGCAAAATATTGTGTAAACTCACAAGCTTATATTTTCGTATTAACTATAAAATAAGTGCATGATATAACGGATTGGCACAAAGGAAATAGCAAACACAGAAAAAAAATGACTTCAATGATGTTTATTTGAAAAGAAATTCAGAAAAATATGTTATGCAGGTACATTTTTTTGAAAGTTTTCTTTAAGGAATCGACAACTTAAAGATGCAAACTTCAGTGGGCATGTGAACGACCAATGACACAACAAGCGATGATAGATGTATGGCTCGTGTGGTCTCCCTGAAGAATCTGGGAAAGAATACAAACTAAATTACTTGTACATAAAATCCACAAAGTCCTTATAAAAACAGGCTTTTTCAAGCAAAAAAGATCTTCTGGTGTCATTACGTAAAAGTTTGTGACAATTAAAATATGAAAATCAGTTTTAACAGACTTTTCTAGGCAGAAATTAGAAAAGAAAATAGAAAAGTTGAACACAATACATACTGCCAGGGAACGTCCCAGAATTCCATCATCCTCGTCGATACGGAGCCAATCAAAGGATCGAGTGGCCGTCACGGTTCCTCGATCGTCATCATGGAGATCTCCCAGGTCACCAGGATTGCTGTGGGATACAAAAATGGTCAAACTGTGTTTAAAAGGTAGTTATTTTTTGTACATTAATTTCACATATTAATTTTACATATTGAAAAGATGCACTTTATAGTTAATAGAAAGCTACTCAATATTGTATACGCAGAACATTCAGCAAATTGGATATTTCTAAGCCTATGCATTACCCGAATTTTTTTAATCGCTTTTTTCAATAATATACACGTAATTATTTCCAGAAAAAAGTTGTTTGCTTGTTGCAAAGATGCACTTTATAGTTAATAGAAAACTACAATGTACTCAATATTGTATATGCAGAGGAAATACCTACGCGTGACCTTGGACATGCTCGCCGTGGTAAAGTTCTCCTATGGTGTCACAGCCATGCTCCATATCTCCATACTCGTGGATCTGGAGTCCGTGATTATGGTCTTCGAAATCATCACTTACATTAAATCCAGTAAGATGGAAGTACATGGTTAAATCTCCTGTGCCCTGAGAAGCAATACTAGAGTTGATTTTGTACAAAGATATTGAAAATATCACTCTACAATTCATTGTATTAGAAAAAATCAACATCATTAGATGCATTCAAGATACTAGCATAGCTAGCCTTGCTATATAGGGTTAATGAACACTCTGTATAAAATTAACGCTCATGACCCCTAAAAACTAGCATATCGTTTAAGATTGGAGATCTACGTCGTTCTGCGTAGCCGCTACGATCTTGAATGCATCCCTGGGAATTAGATAAATACTTAAATACATACTCTTTGTGACATCTCAATACTTCCATGAACATGGTGGTGCAGACTGGCCAGCTGATTTGGGTTAGGTTCCATCTGACAGTGGGCATAGTGCAATTCTGCCACCAAAAGAGAATATAGTTTAATTCTAAAATGTGTATATCAAAGACAGTAAAACTAATTTAAAGAGAAACTGAACGAATTTGAATATAAGGATAACTTTTATGATCTTAGGTTACCCTGATCCTCAGTGGTTGCTACATGACGATCCTCATCTTCAGAAGGGTGATCAGGGACGTCTAAGAAGAAGTCCATGCTGACCATGTGGTGTGTGGTTTCCATGACAACACTTCTCATCGGACAAACATCTGATTTTATCAAGATTAAAATTAATTTATGATTCAATTTTACTCCGTTTTATTCAAATTTTGGAACATTAATAGATGAAAAGCTAGCGTTAAATCTCAAACCAAGTCAAGCAACAATTCATCTAAATAAAATTTTTAGAAACAAACACAAAACAAACCTTTCCTTTATTTAAATAAAGAATCATTTACAAATTCAATTAGTGAAAATAACTAATTTAAAAATGTTATTTCGTCGATTACAGTGGTATTATTAAATATTCACAAGTCCAATAATGTTTTGGCCGCATTCTTATTTACTTCTTATGTCTATATCAATATTTATATCAATAATGTACAATGTTTCGTTTAAATTATACCTATTAGATATATCTTGCTTGACGTTTGTGTGAAACCTTTCATAAAGTTAGCTGTACATTACCTGAAGTTTATGTTAATGCTTAATCTGAAAATAAATAGCGGTTCAGAAAATGCTACCAGACTAAGGCCAAAAAAAAAAAAAATGTCATATGGAATTTTTTTCAAATGAAATTACACGAACACACGTCTGTGGAAGTAATTGTACTACATTGTATAATTATTAGTCGTTTGTTCAGTACGGAAGCCAAATAAAAAACCCCAAACATTCATAGAATGCCAAAAAAAAAAAAAAAACAAATGAACCCATTGAATCATAAAAAAAAAAATAGATTAAAAACTAATTCACAAAATTAAAACGATATATAAAGAATAGATTTATAAATAATTAAAAAAAAAAAAACAAAAACCAAATTCTAAACATAAAAAAGGAATAAAAAACTAAATTAAAAAATACAAAAATAAATTAAGAATGAATTAAAAAAAATTACAAAATAAAAACTAAATCACCAAAGAAAAAAAAATTTCCAAATACAAAATCAAATGATTAAGAAAAACCCAAACAAATTACGAGAAAAATAAGTAAATTTATTATGAAATAAAATTCTAAATTACAAAATAAAATATCAGAAACTATTTTATTACCGTGATCTGAATCGGAACTAGTGACAACATAATCATGTGGAGGGGTATGATAGGGGATGTCCAAAAAGAAGTCCATGTTAACATGGTGTTCCTCTGTTTCTCTCTCGACACTTCTCACTGGGTCTGCTCATTGCAAGAAAAAATATGATTGATAAACTTCTGATAATTTTCTTCAGGGTACTAGGGTGTGTTTATAAACTTTAATTATCACCAATAAATACCCTCCTTTAAAATAACATTCTTCATGAGGTAAAAAAAAATTAGCATGAAAATTTAGCATGAAAATAAGATTCATAATTTAAACTTAAGTTTCGTCTTAAAACCTTTATGTGTAAGTATTTTTTTTTGTTGGAAACGAGATTTAATTGAAACAAATTCTTTTACTTGAGAGTATCTTTGCGCAGACTAATATCAAATGAGATTCAAAAATAAATAAATAAATATATGAATAAATAAATTAATAAATCAATAAATATATAAATAAATAAATGTATAAAGACAGAAAGGAAGAAAGAAAGAAAAAAGAAAGAAAAATAAAAAATAATTAAATTAATTAAATAAATTAATTAAATTTTGTAATCAAAACAAATTAATTAACGATAATTTATATCTAATTCATGTACTCAATAAGTAACAAGAACAACAACAGCAAAAAAAAAAAGTAAATTATATTACCACTGGCAGGATGATCGGGGATATTCATATAAAAGTCCATATTGACTCGGTGTTCCCTGGTTTCCCTGGTAACACTTGCAACTGGATTCAATTCATTGTGACAATCGTCTTCCTGACCTGCATTTACAATCATCTATTAATAATGAATATATTGTGTATATTGCCTGCATGAACATGTAAATTGACATACATCAGTCTAATATATTTTGTTGTTCATCATTTAGTTTGTATATAAAACACCTATTTAAAAATTCCAAACATACAATGTTTTTCCTTTAATAAAAAAGCCTAATTGACAATCTTGATGAAAAGATTTTTCCTTCTGTGAAGCTCCGGTCCTTACATAGTAAATTGATATGATTGAGTGCTACGAAACTGAAAACTGTGAACAACTTTTCACGAAATTACATCTTTTGCCAAAAACAGATCAAGAAACAAAATTACCCGGATGAGAACCTGGGATGTCCAAGTGGAAGTGCAGGTGTACTCTGTGGTTCCTGGTTTCCCTGACAACACTTCTGTACGGCCTTGGTGGGCGGACAATGCCGTGAAGCTGGTCATGTTCGTGAACAATTTCCCAGAGAGCAGAGAGGTTGGATCTCAGAAACTGGACTTCGTCTTGAAGGTGGGAGATTTCAGTTTCTGATAAATAAAAGAGGCCACATAATCAAATTAATAAGATTAAAATTATCCATTAGACATTTTCCTGAAAATAAAATAATGACATGAAAAAATGCAACTTGCATGATTTACGGGAAGACTTTCTTTTAAAAAGATAAATTGTTCAAAAAGCCCAAAAATTATCAAAACTACAAAAGTAAAATAAAATTTTAAAAAAAAGATGAAAATTTGATTTTTTTTTTCTCCCTGACAATTTTTATTCATATGAAAATAATTTAAAAAAAAGAAAAACTCACGAAAGGGACGTCCAGCCACCAAATAGGCCAGAGAGACCACCACGAGGATCGTTAAGGCTTGCATTGTTCCTATTGCCCGTACTGATCAGAACTACAGACGGGGAACATACTGGCTTAGATGCAATCTCTTTATGTAAGTGCTGCTCTTAAGAAGCAAACCAATGAGAGAAAAAGAAAAGTCTATATATAGAGTAGTTGAAGTTGCATGAGATTTTCCTTTTTTCTTTCACGAGATTAAAAAAAAAATGTCTTTCGCATTCAAGGTGTTTTTTTTCTCTTAAATTGTAATTTGCTGTAATATTATGTTAAAAGTATTTGATTAAATGGAAGTGAAATATTAACCCTTATTATTTACTTAGGCAGACTTTGGGTAATAATTCATTTTATATTGTACAAAAAAATAAACATGGATAAAAACAACAGTGACACTAGTAAACATAATCAATTTGATACCCAATGTTGAGTATGTATAGAAATACATAAGAATTAAATTAAAATAGAATTAAAATGTATTTTTACTGTAATTCTTTTGTTGATCCTATTCATGAACTTCATAAGCAGAGATTTAAATAAACATAATAAAAAAGCTTATATGTTTAGTTAACAATTATGATATACATAAATGACTGGAATAAAATCTTTTAAAGTCTCTAATAATTTCTTGCATTTGATGTAGTTTATGCAAAGTAACTGAGATGCATTGAAAAATACACAAATTTATAGTCCAAATGGATTTGAAATAAAACATTCAGAATAATTTGCTTTATGTCATCCTAGTAGAATGCAATGAAAACAGAAGATAAAAACACAAAACTTCATTCAAGAAAACACATGTAAACATATTCATTTATGTTTCTTTTTTTTATAGGAAATCCACAGAAAATTTCTTAAATTTACATTTTATTGTGTTTAAGATTTGTAAGAGAGAAAAATGCATTTCTCTTGGGAAAAATTGAATAAATCTTATCTGTATGACAAGTTATCAGTCAGATCATTTACTTGTCCAGTGCATGTAAAAAACTTTGCATGATATATAAATATATATCAAAAAATACTTAGATGGCATTAAAATTAAACCCAACAATCGTCTTCTAAAATGTCAAGTAGATCTAAAGAAACCTTGAAACATTAAGTGATTCGACTTCCCGTGTAATCAACAATTGTACTGAAGAAGTTTTGAAATTTTAGTGCAAATAATTGCAGTAAGGTATTATGCTAATACATTGTAAATACTGTTGAGTTTGCTTTGTTGAAAACTAGCATATTTGTCCTGTTGAAACTCCGTTGAAATGCTAAATGACCTTGAAACATTTTAACTTTTGCAGGAAAATATGTAAGAAGACCATATTTCCTTCTGTATGTCTTCTGCGTGGCGCAGGGTTAGTGCAAAGTCCCCCTTCATTCTAGAGTCGCCAAGTAAGGATTTGATCTATTGAAATGATTAATTGATTGTATGTTTTAGGTCCTATTCATGAATGATCTTTGAGTGGATGGGTTGGAGTCCACCATGTCCATAAATATGGAGAGTTGGAGACTGATTATCCTATAAAGACCGATATCCATCCTTACAGTTTATACTGGCAGACAAAATTCTCTCATAATGCAATTGCTGTAGATCTAACTTTGCAGCTCCCCATCTCATATCAGCGGCATCCCATAATAAGTGAAATATTCTGAATGGACATATAGCAAATAACAAATAGATCTTCCTGATAAAACTAAATAAAACTAGTATTATATTTTCCCTTAACAAGTGAAACAGAGGAGAACGATTTTACATGTAAACAAGAAAGAAGAAACAGATCTAATTTGGGACCACATTTGTTTTTTAGAAGATTCTTTTACAATAATTTGTAAGCATTTCTTGAAATAATCTACCATTTAGTTATATTGCCTTCATCAATACAATTTATCAGAACGCTCACTTATAAAATACGTTGTGGTCATTTAAGGACATACGCAACCTACCTTATCTACTGATAATTTTTTTTCAAGATATTCTTAATTTAAGATTATAGTGCCATCAGATGTTCGTAAAAAAATCAGCATGCATTACCAGGGGTTTTGAAAATATATAAATTGTTGGAAATTTTTGCATAATTCAAAGAAAAATATACCAAAATTACTAAACGTATATTCTAGATGTTTTGTTTATCCAAACTTGCTTAGAAGAAGTGTACAACAGAATATATATAGACATTAAAATGTAGCACACAGTTCCTTTAAGCATCGGAACTCCTCAACTCCAGGAAAAAAGACAGTATAGTTCAAACTACGTTGCACATGTCCTTAAATCAAAATTTCTTTTACACTGTTCAACGTGCCAAAGTTCTAAATGTATTTTAGCTTAAAAACTTATAAATAAGTAATGTATATATATATATATATATATATATATATATATATATATATATATATATATATATATATATATATATATATATATATATATATATATATATATATATATATATATATGTATGTATAAGGGTGTGTGTGTGTGTGTGAGAGGGTGTGTGTGTGTGTGTGTGGTTTAAAATTCATGATTTTGCAAAACGAAACCTGTACATTTTTATGCATTTTTTGAAGATGCATTTTCAATGACAAAAATAAAAAGAATACCTACCCATAAAGAAACATTGTGTTATAATGTGTAGGATTGATAATATTTGTCCTAGTCCTATTTGTTTTGTGCATGCTACATGTAATTCATAGACAAAAAAAAAAATAATAATCATGACATTGTAGCAAATTGTGGAGTTGTTTTTTTTAAGAAATAAACAATGATGTTAACTGAAATATAAAAACTTTTTTATGATTGAAATTTAATTTCACTGTATATATACTGTTACATGTAGTCAGATACTAATTTTCAAAGTATCAAAGTATATAAATGTGTCAAAGTATCAAATACCACTGTAAATCAAATTCATTATGTATTTTCATACTAATTGTTAGGCCATTACTTACACACTGAATTGTCGACGGATTTTTCCGTTATTTCACGATTATGACAAATAGCTCACGGTGGGTGTGACCGGTCGGCAGGGGATGCTCACTTCTCCATGGCACCTGATCCCACCTCTGATGTTTTTGGAGGTCCGTGTTTGCACTGCTCCCGATTTGTATTGTTTTAAAGGACTTTGAGCTGTTTGTTATCTCCACATCTCATGTACAATAACGAGCTAAAGCTTACAAACATAAGAATCTTTTTTATATTCTACAAGAGATAATGACTTGCATTGTTAAGGAAATATGCCAAAGCATTCGGAAGAAGATTGTCATAGGCGACACCATCATTAGTAAAGAGCGTTAACTCTTAATGGTATGCTTAACCTATTAGAAAATGTGAGCTCCTTTACTGAGATCAATTAATCTATTATTAAAGAAGTGCATTTCTTGTTTAAAATCATCAAAAATAAATTTGTAGGAAGAGTTGTTCGTTACTCCGGTCGATTATGCTCAATAATGGCAAAAGCTAAGTAAAGAAGAATTAGAATTATCCATGTCGATCCCATAAATAACAATTATTTCAATATATTTGTTTTTCTGTTGAAGTCTTTTTGTGTCTTTCCGACATGTTCCAATCACTCTAAGTAAATATGAAATATTGTAACTTTTTTGCTTCAAAGAATGTATCTTATTTTGAAAGTTTAGGACATTCACCACAACAACTGTCGTCAAAGTTCAATAATAGTGATCGCCATAGCATTATCTAATGGCACATTGCATTGAGAAAATGCAATATAGATTTCTTTTACTTATAAAAAAAGATTTCTTTTTTTTAGTTTATAATTTTTTTTCTTGCGGAGGTTTAAAACTCATACAATGGAATATTCCTACAACAGTGGGCTATGAACTAACCAAAGAAATTGATTCTGACCTACATTTCACATGTCGGCGTATTACAATGGATTACAAAAACACGGGCTATTTAAAAAGCCATGTTTTAAAAATTCCGATTGAATTTCAATGTATATGAAAGTATAAGAGAGAATGCAAAAGATGGGGTGGGAAAACTTCTTGATAATTGTATAAGAGTAATGATAAAGCCTGAGTGTATAAACTGTTTTATTAATTCTGTACCAATTTTAAGTATTTCGTATACTTTACTCTAGTGATTTGTTCTGAGGTAAGGCACAAATGATTGCATAATTCTCAAATAAATATATAGGAACTTTAATCTGTTCTGATCATTGAATATGCTTTTTCCTTTATTGATTGCACTTTCTTCTCTACATGTTAAATATATCATTCTGTAGAAAAAAAGTTTTTCTACATATCTTCCTAAATCCCCTGTCACACCAGATGAGCAGCTTTCTCCTGGCGATCCCGTGGCGTCCATGAAAAGAGCAGTCTTCCTCGAAGGGATTTCGAAATGACGCGGATGGTCCTAACCAAAGGTACCTTTTTTAACAAAAGTTTACTTTAGTTAACTATAGTTTACTATAAAAGTATTAAACAAAAAAGTGAAATTCATGTCCCCAGGGTCAGGAATCCTGCTGCTAGGAAGGGGGTTTATAAATCAAATAGTGAAAGTGTATGATTTCTTTGAAAATCACCTTCTCTTTTCCTTGGTATTAAACAAAATAAATAAGTACATAATTATAATGAGCTAGTTTGCCTTTTCCAATATTGTTAATTTCATGGCCCCTGGATCAGGGGTTCCGATGTTGGGGGGGGGGGGGCTCTATTGGTTATATGTAGTGAAAATGCATTAATATTTTGAAAATCTTCTCTGCTGCAGGGCATTAAACTTAGTGTATGATTATGATGAACAAGGGTGCCTCTTTCGAAATTGTGAATTTCATGGCCCCAGGGTCGGGGGTTCTGGTAAAATGGGACTGGGCTCTTTTAATAATATAGTGAAAATGCATTAATTCTTTGAATATCTCCTCTGCTCCTGGATATTATTTAAACAAACTAAGTGCATGGTTATTGGTAAGCAAGGATGCCTCTTCAAAAGTTGTAAAGTTCATGGCCCCAGAGTCAGGTGTTCTGGTGAAAGGGGAAGTTCCATTGATTATATAGTGAAAAGACATAATTTCTTTTAAGATATTTTAGTCTGCCCCTGAATTAATGAAAAAAACTAAATGTATAATTTATAA